CTTACACTTACCCTTAACCTTACCCTTACCCTTAACATAACCCTAACCCTAAACCTTACCACAACCTTTACCCTTACCCTAAACCTTACCCTTAACTTTAGCCTTACCCTAAACCTAACCCTAGCCCTTAACATAAAGCTAACCCTTACACTTACCCTAACCCTTACCCTTATCATAACCCGTACCCTAACACTTACACGTACCCTTACACTTACCCTAACCTTTACCCTTTCTGCTACACTTACCCTTACCCTAAATCTAAACCTTACACTTACCCTTACACTAACCCTTTGCCTTACCCTTAGCCAAACCCTTACCCTAACCCTTACCCTAACCCTTACCCTAACCCTTACCCTAACCCTTACCCTAACCCTTACCCTAACCCTTACCCTAGCTACCACTGTTGCAGAGTCACAGAATGGTTTGGGTTGGAAGGGACCTCAAAGATGAGCTCCCCTGCCAGGGGCAGGAACACCTCCCACCCGACCAGGATCCTCAAAGCCTCATCCAGCCTGGCCTTAAACATTTTGAGGGTTGGAGCATTCACAGCTTCTGGGAAACCTGTTCCAGTGCCTCTAAGTAAAGAACTTCTTCCTGATGTGTAATCTAAGCTGGCTCTCTTTTGGTTTAAAGCTATTCCCCCTTGTCCTATCACTATTCCCCCTGGGGAGTTCCTCCCCACCTTTCCTGTAGGCCCCTGTTAGGTACTGAGGGGCTGCTATAAGGTATCCCCACAGCTTTCTCTTCCCCAGGCTGAACAACCTTAACTCCCTAATCCTGTCAGTGTAGGAGTGAGGCTCCAGCCCCTTGGTCATCTTTTTGGCCCTTCTCTGGACTCATTCTAGTAGGCCCATGTCTTTCTTGTGCTGGGGGCCCCAGAGCTGACCACAGTGCTCCAGGTAGGGTCTCAAAAGCAGTAAGATCTTGAAATCATTTTCTCCAGGCAGTAAGCAGTTTAAGTTTGCTCACACAGCAGCAGTACTGCTCACCACAGCTGAAATATACTCTCAATCCTGGGTGCTTGTAAGAGGCATGAATGCCTTACGCCAAATTCTAAACCAAGTGCAGGTGTGAGATTGTGATGCCTGTCCTGGCTTGTGCAGGTAGAAAGGGAAAGCCCATTTCCCCTGTCCCCACCCTGAGGAAAAGCCTCTTCCCCTCCAGCCCCAAGCAGAAGGGAAAGACTGTTCCCCTCTGGCCCCAGCCATGAGGAGAACTCCCAACCCCAAGGAAAAGCCCCTTCTCCTCCGGCCCCAACCCTGAGGAAAAGCCCCTTCTTCACGACTCTGAGGAAGAGGTCCTTACCCTCTGAGGCGCGGGGGCCCAGTGGGAGTCGCTGCCTGGGGTCAGCCTCCAGGTCCGGGGTCCTGGTGGGAGTCGCCACCTAGGGTCCACCGTGGACCCTGGGCCCTGGCGGGTTTCATTTCCCGAGGGCCGCCACGGGGTTCGGGGGCCCGGCAGGAGTCAGATTCCTGGGTCCAATGCAGGGCCTGGTGGGAATCACCACCTGGAGTTGGACACGGGGCCCAGGGGTCCAGCAGGTATCACCGCCCCAGGTCTGCCACTCGTCACGGGGGCCCGTCGGGAGTCGCAGGACATTAGTGGGTTTACGTGGCAAGGTTTTTGTAGCAGAGAGATACTCTGTGAGAAGAATATAGAAGCTGCCCCACGTCAGGTAAGAGCCCCACTGCTGACCAGAGCTGAGCCAATAAGTGACATTGGTTGCACCTTAGTAAGAGCATATTTAAGACGGAGGCGGGGGGGGGGGGGGGGGGAACGCTGCACCACACAGCAGCTGGCAGAGTGAGAGAAGAACAGCCTTGCAGGCACCAAGGTCAGTGAAGGACGGGGAGAGGTGCTCCAGGTGCTGGAGCAAAAGTCCCCTGGGACTTTTGGTGAGGACCATGGAAATGAGACCACGCAGAAACAGGTAACATGGCAGGAGCTTCTGCCCATGGGGGACCCAGGTTGGAGCAGTTTACTCCTGAGGGATGGACCCCGTGCTATGGACCCGTATCTGGAGCAGTTCTTGAAGAGCTGCCTGTGGGAAGCCCACACCAGATCAGTTCACCAAGGACTGCATCCTGTGGGAGGGACCCCACAGAACAGGGGACAAGGATGACTGAGGAGTGGCAGAGTAGAAGTGCTATAGACTGACCATAACCCCCATTCCCCTGTGCCAGTCAGGGGGGAGGAGGTGGGAGGTGGAAGAGGGTGGATGGGGGGGGTGGGAGGGGAGAAAGGTGCTTCTGGTTTCTTTGTTCTGTTTCTCATTTCTCTAGCTTGTTAGTAATAAGCAATAAATATTATCTCCCTATGCTGAGTCTGTTTTGCCCATCATGATAGTTACTGTGTGATCTCCTCATACTTACCTCAACCCTGTAGCCCTTTCCATTGTATTTTATCCCTGTTCCTCTTTGAGAAGAGGGAGTGAGGGAGCAGTTGTGGTGGAGCTTGGCCACCCACCTGAGTAAAACCACCACAGTCCTTTGTGGCGCCCAACGTGGGGCTCGAGGAATGTGAGATAAGGATGATAGTTCAGAAAAGTAATGGGCAAAACATGGACTGGATGATTGTTATGAATGTAAAAGTTATGACAAAATTTAAAAAAGCAGTAATTCTGAAGGAATATGTTTCATGCTAGTGTGGTGAAGGGACAAGGGGTGTTGTGATGATGTTGGCAGCGCCCAGGCGCTGCCGTGGGGCCCCAGGAGTTCTGCGGCATAGGTGCCAGGCACTGCTGTGAAGCCCTGGGGCTGGCGCCCTGGCTCCTCCCCATGGCCCCGGGGAGTCAGGGCCAGTGTACCGGGCACCCAGCAGTCTGGGTACTGCCCACTGGAATTTGGAGCAACAAGTTTTTCAGAGGACCCCTTTTTTCCTTTTTTTTTTTTTTTTTTTTCCTCGTTGCAACTCACATACCCATGCCTCTAGTGTCCTGGTAGATTTTCCATCCCTTTTTCTGAAGTCCTCTCCATGGTCACGTAGGTAAAACCCAGGGTGACACAGTGTGTGTACCCACTATATTGTCTTCCTTGCACAGAAGGATGCTTACCCCTGATAGCTGAGACACTTGTTTGTACAGGTGGGGAGGAAGATCAGTTCTTTTTAAGTTGGTGGACATCTGAAAGTTTCGCCACAGTGGAGTTGCAGGCCTATAGGGAAGAGGACAGGCTTTCTTCGTACTGCTTTTGACTTACCTATTGTGAGAATGCCATTTCTCTTATGAACAGCACATTCTCACAATTTCCACTTAGTGAAAGTAACAATCATGCCACTACTATCTATCCAGATCTGTTTCTACTTACCACAAGGCAAAATTTGAATTCACATTATGGCACCTTTTTCATACAGCCTATTGTTTTTAAGTATTTAAGATGGAACATTCTTCAAAGTTAGTCTTACCTGTATGCATTTGAGCTTCTGAGGTTTTTTGTTTTGTTTTGTTTTGTTTTAGGTCTGGGAAGGAAGCTTCGAATCCATGTATGTAATTTCACTGTAAACAGACAAGTTGAAGGAAGTACTCAAACTCCTCAACATTAAACAGCTATGGAACCCAGGAACACTACTTAACTGCTGGCTTCTGAATTTGAGTCACTTCCAAACTGCTTCACAGTGAAGTCGTACCACCAGATTTTTATTGTACTGAGAAGGCACCACCAACGTAGCTAGCTCATAGGGTCTCCAGAAGTATTTCACAGAGATGGTAGAAAACATGAAGAAAAAGCAGCGTACTGGGGAACACTGAGTCCATTTCACCACAAGAAAAAACACTCTACATAACACAAGCCTCAGACTCCCCTTTGATAGACCACTACCACCACCACCTCCTCCTCATGCTGCCTATGTAGCAAAAGTCAAAATGATCCACATCTGTCAGATTTCACTTAACAAGGGTGGAGCCAAGAGACATTGTGGAATAGGCTTGTATACCTGGCTTCAGTGTTTTAAGGGCTATTGCTCCTTATCACTAATAGAAATAACTTGACAAGGGGCTTAGTGGTTAGAGTTGACCTAATGAATTAATTGCAAAAGGTGCACAAGGGTCATATTTCTGTTAGTCATTCTGTGAGGAAAATTAGTACAGAGCCTGATAAATAAATAAATGAATAAAAGAAAAAAGAAAATGACCTTAAAGGCAAAATTCACAGATTTTCATCTAGTCTGTTCGCCCACGTGCCCAGTGATAGGAGGAGGGGGAATGGGCTAAAGTTGTGCTAGGGGAGTTTTAGGTTGGATATTAGGAAGAACTTCTTTACCAAAAGGGTTGTTAGGCATTGGAATGGGCTGCCCAGGAAAGTGGTCGAGTCACCATCCTTGGAGGCGCCAAAAAAACTGCCAAAAAGTAATGTATCTACAAGTTAGTTTTACATGTTGGCATTATTACTTGTCTGGTCTTGCGTTCAGGGCTTGATCTATTTGGGGGGTGACATGTAATGTCATGCAAGGTTGTTTGGTTGTATGACTGACAACATGACTTTAAAATTTGGAACTGTTTGTATAGAAGCAAAATACAGAAGAGTATACTATCCCCAAGGAAAACGTAGAAACTACATGTTGCTTTTCGGGTTTAAAGTTAAAAGATGTAAGCATCTGTTAAGGTGTAAGAAAAAGTGTAATCAGCTGAGCACAATTCTTTTGTATACAGGAACATTTTCCTCTCCAATTTCCAACTTGGTGTGCAACATTTTTCATCATACTCTTAGATCAGGATTCTGATTCTAACACTGGTTTCTAGTGCAAATTTCTAGACAAGAGAGAAGCAAACCAGTCCTGACTGCTTTGAATGAGATGGAGATAGACAACAAATGTAAATGAAGAAAATAAACCTGTAGGAATGTTTTCAAATAACTGTCATTGTCCAAAAGCTTTAAATTGGTTGAATCCTTGAAAGTTAATTAATATAAGTTCAGGTTGCATCACTGAATTTGAAGTAGTAAGATAGACTTGCACCATTGTTGCAGGAAGAACGGCCGAAGTCATGACACACTACAATACGGTCATATCATGCTCTCTCTTTATTACCTAAATAGTCTGACTCTTATAGCAAATTTAGCAGGGGCGGATAGAGTTTCACACAAGATTATTGGTTGAAAGCACTCAGAGAAACAACTGCAAGAAAACAACCCCACCTGGAAGAAAACAACCCCTTTGTGATTAGCAGTCACGTAGTGTAGTCCTTGAAGGAAGTGCCAGCTGCTTGCAACAATATTTTTAATTCCTCAGTCGGGCGATAAGAAAACATCGTCATGGGAATTCCTCGTAGTCGTCCTGGTATCTTGGTTTGCTCAGCTGCAGCAAGTCATGGCCTCCTTGCTGTTTCAAAAATTCCTCAACACACCATTGCAGAGCCTCAGTCAAAATTTAAATTGGCACTGCCTCTAACTTCACAAAAATGGAATAGAAAAGCACATCTTTCTACCATGTCAGCCACTGGCAGACCTAGAGAAAGAAAAAACAAAAGTTGTTAAAAAGTAATTTATTTATTTATTTATTTATTTATTTATTTATTTATTTATTAGGACATTTCACTGAATATGTAATATTAAGTAGTAACCAGACAACAAATGAAAGGGAAGATGAAACAGTAGAAGGTCCTTGCATGGGCTTAATTTACATGGCAATTGACATCAACCACAATCTGCAATGATTTATAATATACCCTTGAGACAGAAAAATAGGGTTCCCTTATCATGTAAGGGTAGTGCAATCCCTCTCAAAATATGAGAGTCTGGGGGTACATGACTGAGTACTGAAAATCTTAAGACTAGGCAGCACCGAAGTCAATTGAGAAGGGAGGATGAATCTCTCTGGATGTTCACGTAACAGAAAGGAAACTCAGATTTTAGCCCTAAGCAACTATTTTTAGAGACAGGCTGGGAACTGGTTCTTTTTGAGCTGGGGACAATTTCAGCATCCTCAAAGCTAAAGAAACAGTTGACTGCTTTGTCAAATCATGTTCCTGGCAAAAAAATTCTGGGGACCAGATCTGGTGGCCAAACTCCCCAAAAAACTCTCGCAACCATCTTAGCTGGTGAGTACAGGAACCTGACATGTCCTGGCTATTTTTGCCTTCTCCTTTGTCTGTTTCTGGGAGTGTGGTGCAGAGAGCCCTGAAGCAGCTCCTTTCTGCTTACAGGGTTGCGTGGAGACAAGCAACGGGGCTGTGGCGGTGTCAGGCAGGGCGAGCAGTGCAGCATCCCCCCACATTTCAGGGTTTGGTGCCTTTTGGGCTGCTCTGTATCCCGCAGGGCCACGGTTTGGCAACGAAAAACATGAGAGAGGTGTGAAAATCTTGTGTTTGCATAGTCCTGAGAAGACAAAAGAGCCATCTTGTGCCACCGTGGGCCTTTCCAGGCTGCACGTTCAGGTTGCAGAGATTTCCTTCGGTGAGTGTGACATGGCAACCGTAACCGCAGGTAAGATAAGGGGGGAAAAAAGATGAAAAGGAAACCGCACTCTTGGAGATGCCGGGGATTGAACCCGGGACCTCATACATGCAAAGCATGCGCTCTACCGCTGAGCTACATCCCCCTGCCTCGCTTTCACCATCCTGCCTGGAAGCCTGGTCCGTGAATGCCGAGCTACCCTGGCGGGCACCCAGTGCCTGGTCCCACCCCAGGGAGCGGCCGCTGCTCTCCCCTGCTCCCTAGGGAGTCACCGGCAGGGCCGGGGCACATCTGGCTGCATCGGACGGGACTTCCCCGTGGAGCGGGTGTGCGCTTCGTTAATTCAACGGGTGGAGAAAGGGGCGACGGGAAGTGCGTGGGGGGAATAGGATTGGCAGTGAGATCCATGGGCTTGTCCCCCCGAGATCCCTGGGGCTGCTGGGCCCTGGGTCAGGCTGCGAGTGGCACGCAGCAGCGCAGCACACGTTTATGTATTTATTTATTTCTCCGTCTTTGGAAACTGGAAAAGTTCAGGAGGAAAAAAAATCAATAGCTTCAGAAAATGTATAATCTCCCCGTCGGGGAATCGAACCCCGGTCTCCCGCGTGACAGGCGGGGATACTCACCACTATACTAACGAGGACAACACATACCATTGCCCCCGCGGGACACCTCACCATCAAGCCAGCCGCTGCCCAGGCACCCACCGCGTCCTGCTGCTGTCCCTGCCGGGAATGGCCTGCAAACCCGACCCGAAGTAGACCTTCCCTCGACCGGGAACGGGCTACAGCCCCGGTCGGCGGCAGAGAGATTCACCTGGGTAAGAAAAGGGGAAGAAAAAGAAAAAAGAAAAAAGAAAAAGAAAAAAGAAAAGAAAAAAAAAAAAAAAAAAAGCCTGCCGAAACCCGGGATCGAACCAGGGACCTTTAGATCTTCAGTCTAACGCTCTCCCAACTGAGCTATTTCGGCTCTCTTAAACGCTTTTCTTGGCCACAAATATGATGCCACCCAGCACCCGTGGGTGTCCTGGCTGCAGCCCTGTTCTGCCGCGAACATGCGGAGGGCGCTCACTCGCAGCAGCGGCTGCTGCCTGCGGGACGGAGTTTGCCGTGCAGCTCTGGGCTTTCCCCGCCTGTCTGCAGTGCTCTGCTAAACCCAGAAGAGCAGGGGTGGGTCCCCTAGCACCCCACAGTAAAAGCCAGAGGGGTGCCCGCAGGGCGGCTGCAGCCCGCTTCCCCTGGCAAAACAAACAAACAAACAAACAGACAAAAACTTGCAAAAAGTATGCTCGGTTTTTCCAATCTTGAGGTGCAAAACAGACAAACGCTGGCCTACAACCCCAGCCTTACTTACTAGCGATCGAGTGAGGATCCCTGGAGAAAGCATGTTCTTCCCCGTCCCACTAAGTAACGGCCTCGGTCACATTGCACCACCACCGCCGAGCACAAAACAGCACAACCTCCCCGTCGGGGAATCGAACCCCGGTCTCCCGCGTGACAGGCGGGGATACTCACCACTATACTAACGAGGACAGTAGCTACATGGGAAAGTTCTCCCCGGGTGCCACTATAAGGCCGGAGCGCTGCAGGCCTCCGCTCCCTGGCCCGGCCGTGCTGCTGGGTGCAGGGGGCGGCGAGGAGCAGAGGCGGCAGGGCTGCACGGCGCTGTGGACGCTGGATGAGCTATGTCTACACTGCTGGGAGAGCGCTAAGTATGAAGGGGATGTAGCTCAGTGGTAGAGCGCATGCTTTGCATGTATGAGGCCCCGGGTTCAATCCCCGGCATCTCCACTTTTCATTTTTCTCCCAGTATGTCGTGTAAAGCTTGTTCTGAAGCTAGTTGCTTGTCGAGTTTCCAAGTATCTATAATCTTAGCTTTGTCGTGTGTAAATAGGTTCGATGCCTGTGGCTGTCGCTACAGACCATGGTGTTGCAGCATCTGACACACACACACACAGCTACAACACAGTATTTGCCTTCTTGCTGTGGTGGTTTTACCGTGCTGGGCAACTAAACCCCACAACTGCTCTCTCACTCCCCCTCCTTTAGATGAGGAGGGAGAGAAGCAAAGCAAAGAACAACTCACGGGTTGAGATAAGGATAATTTAATTAAAGGGAAATAATTATAATAATTAAATAAAGACTACCATGAACTAAACAATTTAACTAAGGGGAAATAAAAAGGGAAAGGGGAAAAGGGAGGGGAAAAGGGAAAATAAAAAGAAGGGAGGAAAACAAACCAACAAAATAAATGAAGGCTATATGGAAGTGCAGAGGAAAGGAATTGCTCTCTACTACCCACAAATGAGCGATGATTGACCACATCCTTGAAGCAAGGCCTCAACTCACACAGCCGGTGTTCAAGAGGAGGACCGACATTTTCCCAACGAGAGCCCACCCCTCCCCTCTTCTTCCTGTTTCCACCTTTTATTGCTGAGTGTGACATCACATGGTATGGAATATCCCTTTGATTGGTTTAGGTCAGCTGCCCTAGTGATGTTTCTCTCCTCACTTTTTGCCCACCCCCTAGGAGGGTTAGAGAAAGGCCCAATGCTGAGCCACTGCTGCTCAGCAGTAGACACAACACTGGTGTGATAACACTGCTGTTCCAGCTACGAGTACGGCACTGTATGGGCTGCTGCCGGGAAAGTTAACATTCCAGCCAGACCCAGTACACTTGCTCAAAAACAAAAAGCTGATATTTCTGTAGCATTACATATCCCTACCGCTTGTATCTTGGCCTGCAGTGTCTGGCACTGATGGCAGTTCCTGGGGGGCTGGTGAGTTGCTGCCCGCACCTTTCACATTGCAGTGTTACAAACAGCAGCAAATTAATACAGTGCAAGCAGGCAGGCTAGAAAAGTTGAAGAGTAGGTGAAAGGAAAGGGGAACTTGAGCTGCACATTTTCACACGAAGCTTGAACAGTCTGCTTGTACTGAAATTTAAGGACACGGCTGTCCAGACACGTTCAGAGTTTAGCTCTCCATTCCTCTCAGCTTCAAACTACTGCATCATACCAAGCCTAAACAATGGTTCCCATGCCCTTGGACACAAAAGTTGTAATAAATGGCTCAGTCTTTAAAATAGGACTATAATCAAAATTTACAATTTATTAAAGGAGTAGAGGTAAGCAAACAGCGCTGGGTGCGCCAGGAGTCTCTGCTCCACCAAGACGCACACCAGTTACATCAAGCAGCTGATTTTTATGCTCCTAGACTAATACATATTCATTACTACTACTAGGAAAGGCAGGGTTATTATAATTAGTTCCTGGAATCCAAACCCTCTCACTGGTGCATGCATTATCAGTCTCCAGTGGTCCCTCTGGGGGTCTCTCGTGCTGAAGGCTCGTTGTCTTCCTCCCTCTTGTCCTTCTCCTTTGTCTAACTTGGCTGTATGTCAGAGACTTGTGCAGCGTCCCCTGCAAGCTTTGTCTTTTAGTTGTTCTTCAGCTCTCCCCGTCTCCTTAATCTCCTGGCCAGATATCAGAGACTTGCATAGTGTCCCATGCAGTAGTCATAATAATTAGCAGTTATTCTGAAACCCCCCAGATATCAGAGACTTCAAGGAAAAGCCCTTGAAGGGAAAAGCATTTCCCTTCAAGCTCTCTATTGACATGAATTGCTAAAACATTCCTTTGCAAGATACAAGAATTATATACATTAACCACTCTGTTTTTCTTAGACTTGTGGTTATACAAGGGTATGTAAAACAGAAGGTCACATTCATCATACCATGCGGCCCTAGCATTGTTCTATACTGACACGAATCAGACGAACATATTTCACAAAGTGAACTGGGTAGAATTTACCCCACAGGGGGAGTCAGCACAGGCAGTCAGCAGGAACAACCACAAACGCATGGCTAAAATGCAGAGTAGATTTATTCTCGTTACTTCACCAGACAGGGGATCCCCAAAGCAACACCCAAGTACAGGCACACAAGTGGGGATGTAGGAACTCTAAGATGGGTCCATGCTAGGAGAGAACCAGCCTGTTCCCCTGTTTATCAAGGGTTTGCACAGGCACGGTTTTTACCACTGTGCTGTGATCCTTGCTGTGCTTCTTTGATCTCCTCTGTACCAAGGCTGGGAGCTCAAGCGTGTCTGATAGCACGCCTCCGAGTCCATCAAACACCTCTGTTATCTGTGCACAGATGTGCTACTTGCCAAACACACAGAGCACAAACAGCAGTGGGTACAATCATGTGCTTTCCTACATTACTTACGTGCAGACTTTATTCACACTTAAGTGACATTGCAGCTGGAAATATTTACAATCCTCCTTGCCAATCTTCACGTTTAATCCACTCCTCCCAACACCACTGCTGTGCACATTCCTGTGATGAAGGATGTCACCTGAGTGTCTATTCACGGCACTTGCCCAGCCAGTCCATGGAACAGGTGCATCTCATCCTTTTCCTTACCACCACAAAACCACAGAAAATAATATCAAAGCTTATTTAAAAAAAAACAATCCACCCTGTAATCATGTTTTACACTGTTATACAGAATAGTTTAAACAACTGCTTGGACTGCAGGACTGCTGTCTGTGCTAAGGACTAAAAAGGTCTGTTTTGTATCCAATAGCTCTCTAGATTGCTAAATGTACAAACCGTGTGGGTCTGCAACAGCTTGCTCATATTTAAAACATCTGTCTGCACAAGATTACTATTGCTTAAAGCTTCTTTCATAGCCAACACCTGTTACCTGATTTGATTTTGATAATACACTGGTATTTTGGCTGTCACTGAGCAGTACTCACGCAGCATCAAGGCTTTCCTTCTCCCACCCTGCCCCACCAGGAAACAAGATGGGTAGGAGTAAGTTGGGGGGGACGTGACCAGGAGAGCTGACCTGGCCAAAGGGGTAGTTCTGTGCATCCTGCTGGGAGCCTGGCTAGACATCAGCCTGCTTGTGGGAAGTGGAAAGTGGTTGCCTTTCCATCATTTGTTTTGTTTCTTACCTCTTTTTATCACTTTAATAAACTACCTTTCTCTGAACCACTGAGTTTTCTCACTTTCGCACTCATTCTGCTGGGTGACAGACAGTGAGGAAGCAGTTCTGTGGTCCGTAGCTGCTGGCCAGGGTCAACACCTCACAAGAACTAAAGGTTCAGTCTGCACTGGGATCTGTAGTAATACATCAAGAAGGTCCCCGCAAAGGTCTAAAATTGTACTTTTGGAACATCCTACATAGAAAATAGTTCTCCCATCCAAACCAAGAATGATACATATTTATTGTATGAATGATACATATTTATTGTCCATATGACTAACGTAGTCCAAAGAGAAACTTTAGCAAACAATTGGTAAAATACAATGGATAAAATTATCCAAACATTAATATTACAAAAGACCAGTAAAAGAGCTGGTAGGGCTTCTGAGAACACAGTGGGCTTCCCAAAAACCACAGTTAACAACAGGTTCACTTATGCTAGCAGTTAGCAAGTGTATTTGCATCATCAGATTTCCAAGAAAACTCAAGCTGTCAAAAGACCTCGGAGAAAAGGAGTCCCCCAGGAACAGACTCGGGCACTTCACTGTGCTACAGTACTGGTGGCCAGTTCTTGGCTAGATCACCATGCATAGCTTCAGGGAGCCACTGACGATAGGCTGCGAGCAAATCTAGAACAAAAGAGAGGAGTGATTAGATGGCTGCTGGGAAGAGCAGACCCAATGACATCAGCCTGTTCACAGAGAGGCTGAGGAATGAAGGCAAGACCCTTGGTGAGAGCAAGAGCCATCTTTCCAATGCTGGGATAGTGCTGGAGCTTGGACACCTGAATGCAGATATAAAAGTACCAAGTAAGAAAGAATTACTGTGGAAGCCAGCACTGCAATCCAGGGGAACTTTTACACTTCACTGCTGCTTCTATCAACAACTCTCAGAATCTGGTACCCCAATATGGGTCAAAATCCATTTTACCAGGCAAAGAATTTTTCCATGTATCCATTGACAGTCTAGTCTTTCAAAAGCCCAAACCAAACAAATTAACTGTGATTAGAACTAGAGAAAAAGAAGTTTTCTTAAGTTACAAAGAAATGTTTCTTTCGAATGTTTCTTCCAGTCTTTCACAAGAGCCAAAACAGACATTATTTTTCCTACACAGAGCGTATCACATGAAACAGCCTACCTTTTTAATTATACTTCGAAATGACAACTACAAAGTCCCCACTGATATGACTAATGATTAAGCAAGCATGACACTTACACTTAGGATTTTTCTTCCATGCAGCCAGTAATGCATCACGATTATCACATTTTTCAGCAACTAGAGCCTGCAGGAGAGCTTCTGTCCTGGGCTGAAGTCTAAATGCGTCCAAAATAAAATAAAGCAATGTTCATTAGCTCAGTTTAGTGAAGTGCTAGAGCATTCAACTCATCTTTCTGAATTCATACTCTAATGCTATTAAAAGGCTAAATACAAATGTAAAACCACGCAGCCTCTGGATACAGAGACATGTTGTTAGTTTAAAAAAGTTCACACAGCAAAGAGAAAGAAA